GCCCCTTCCGCCCCAGCGCCGCCCCTCTCCCGTGCTCCGCACGCGCAGGTGGAGGACGACTGCGACCGCGACTTCTTCATGACGCCAGAGGAGGCCAAGGACTACGGAATTATCGACGAGGTGCTCGTCTCAAAGGTTCGCATCCCCAGCGTCGCGCGGCCCGAGTTGATGGTGGGTTGAGACGCCCTCTTGCCCGCGTCGAGCCGCATCTCGTACCTACAGCACGCACGCCGCGGCCGCCGGAGGGGAGCGCGCGGGTGCGACCGGCTAGTGCGGCTTGGGCGCCGGTCGCGCAGCGCCCGGCGCCCTGCGCCCCACGCGGTGTGGCGGTGGAAACGAGGAGGACCACGGAAATATGCCGTTTGCGGAGGCAGCAGAGGCGATGGGCCGTGGGTCGTCGCGCGGGCGTGCGCGCTTGTAAAAGAAATAAAAAAGAAAGTTCGAGGCCGCCTTCTGTGGTAGTACCCAGCGCTGGAGGCTCCTCTGACTGTCGTCGAGACTGTCGTTGCTGTCTCTCCCTTCTCGGCTGTCTGTGCTTGTGCGTCTTGGGTCCGGGGTTGTGTTTTTTATCCGCTAAAAAAGAAAGAAAACAGACAACGCAAGGGAGGGAGGGGAGGAGAGTGTTTTTGCGCCAGCTCATTTTTCTTTTTCGTTCGAGTGCGCAAGCTACTGGCCCCACCGTCTTTCCTACCGTCTTTGTCTGCTAATGCCGCGCGCCTCCAAGAGTCCCGCACGCTCGCGCTCGCCCGCGTCCGACAAGCCGCTCGCGATGCGGCGAACCCCGCGCAAGGCGGCGCCGCCGGCTCGCCTCGGCGACGGCGACAACTGGGGATCGAGCCCGGCATCGAAGTGGAGCGTGCTCTAGCATGGGGGCCACTGTTGAGTGGTGGCGCAGCTCGAGAGGTCTGATGGAAAGTGTTTTTTCATCCGGTAGGGCGCCGCCTCCGGAGCCGACGCCAACCAAGCCGGCCGAGCGCGGCAAGGCGCTCTTCGACGCCGAGGACAGCACGGCCAAGAACAAGAAGAAGGCCAAGGCGGGCGGCGTGCTGCAGTGGTATCGCTCGCGGCGCGAGGCGAAGCCGTGGGTGTACGGCTTGCTCGAGGGCGCAGCCTTCGCCGCTGCCGGTGAGCTGGTGGCCACTTGCATCATCAAGCAACAGTCGGCCGACCCGATGAGGTGAGGACGGAGGGGTGAGGACGGAGGGAGCACGACAGGGCGGGGAAGGGAGGGGAGGGATGAGGTGAGGACGGAGGGAGCACGACAGGGCGGGGAAGGGAGGGGAGGATCTCCCGGCGGATACGGCACGGCGTCGCGCTTCACCGCGCCTCCTCCCGCCGCCCGCAGGCTCCTCTTCTTCGCCGGCTGGGGCGCGGTGGTCGCGTTCTGCGTCGCGCCTTGGCTCAAGCTCCTCTCCTCCCTCACCCTGTCGCGCCCGTCACGGCTACTCGACTCCATGGGCAAGGCGGTGCTCAACCAGCTCACGATGACGCCGCTCCTCACCCTGGTCCGGCTCGCCCCCCTCCCCCGGAGCACCCTCCGACCACCGCAAAGTCCGCCGCCCCGCCGCCGCCCCGCCACGCCAGTGCCACATCACCGTGTGCCGCCGCCCCGCGACTCAGGTCTTCGTCGCTGCGTGGGAAGTCATGCTCAAGAAGACGCCGGTGCCGGAGCTGGCCACGCGCGGCGTCGGCCCGATCTCCGAGCCGTTTACCGACCGCTACAAGCGCACGGCGCGACTCCCGACCCCCTCGCCAGCCCCTTCCCTGGCCAGCAAGCGATCCTCTACCAGACATGCCGTCCTCTCACCGCGCCGAGGTGAGCGCAGGCGGTCTTTTGGCTGACGGCGGACTTTGTCAACCTGCTCCTTGTGCCAAACAACTACCGCTTCCTCGTCGCCCTTGCGATGGGCGCGCCGCCTCGCCGACCCATTGCCCCGTACCCACACGATCCGACGCCCACGACTGGCATGACCAGGCGCCATCTGGGCCGTCCTCTCCTCCCTCATGACGGCCTGAGACCTGGCGCGCCGCGGCCACAACCTCATTCGTTTCTCGTCGATTGCTAGCCTCGGCGTTGGGAGGGGTGAGCTCGCGCGCCCTTGCAAACTAGTCGAGGAGGGGTTGGGGGCCCCTTCCTCCGTGCGTCTCGGGACGCACGGCATGCGGCAGCCAGCAGCCAGCGGCGCGGCCCACGCACTAAGTGGCCCAGTACAGTCAAGAGAAACGTGTAGACAAAATTAAGAATGAGACTTTGAGAGTTCACATTGTCATTGAGATTTGAGTTTGAGACGAGTTTTTGTGGGGAGCTCCCATTTCGCATTTGTGGGGAGTGGCCCATTGGGGTGAGCAGATTTCTACATTCTAGGCAGATTTGTGACGCCATGACCAGGGTTCGTGATTTCACATGGAAACAGCGAATCGGTTTCACTTTCACTTTCCCTTCACATTTCATGTGAAACGAAATTTCACTTTTTCGAGCGAGTGTGAAGAGTCGTGTGAACGTGAATGATGACGGATGCTCCCACCGAGTTCCGACCACTCTGACACTCACTTGCACAGGTGTTGGCTCCCAAGCAGCAGCCAAGATGAAGGAGGCTGGAGATATTGGTCTCGCTGAGCTGAAATGTGTACACTAGACCTATATGAATCTCATGGCATGCTGTGGGCGAATACGGTGCTGATGGTGGGATGAACTCTCTCAGTGCAGTCGAGAGTCGACTCCGACGCATCGGGAGGGCGGCGGCGGCGGTGTAGGGGCGGCGGCGAGCTCCCGGTTGCAAATACTCGCCTCACAGTCCAAGATGGCGGCTCGCGCCCCCATCCGTGCACCGGCGTGCCACTCTAGTCCCGCCTGCCGCCCAGATACCGAGGGCGGGGCGCACTCTTCGACTTGGGCTATTATTTGCCACCGGGAGGGCGGCGGCGGCGGTGTAGGGGCGGCGGCGAGCTCCCGGTTGCAAATACTCGCCTCACAGTCCAAGATGGCGGCTCGCGCCCCCATCCGTGCACCGGCGTGCCACTCTAGCCCCGCCTGCCGCCCAGATACCGAGGGCGGGGCGCACTCTTCGACTTGGGCTATTATTTGCCACCGGGAGGGCGGCGGCGGCGGTGTAGGGGCGGCGGCGAGCTCCCGGTTGCAAATACTCGCCTCACAGTCCAAGATGGCGGCTCGCGCCCCCATCCGTGCACCAGTGTGCCACTCTAGTCCCGCCTGCCGCCCAGATACCGAGGGCGGGGCGCACTCTTCGACTTGGGCTATATTATTTGCCACCGGGAGGGCGGCGGCGGCGGTGTAGGGGCGGCGGCGAGCTCCCGGTTGCAAATACTCGCCTCACAGTCCAAGATGGCGGCTCGCGCCCCCATCCGTGCACCAGCGTGCCACTCTAGTCCCGCCTGCCGCCCAGATACCGAGGGCGGGGCGCACTCTTCGACTTGGGCTATTATTTGCCACCGGGGAAGCGAGCTCTGCACGTCCCTCTCTCTGTCTGTTGTGTACGGCAGGAAATAAGTGAATTTCGATCATTTATTTCCTTCCTTTGTTTCAACAACAACAAACAACTCTAACCGTCACACGTCTCTTGATTCATCATGAATGCATTAGCACGAATTACAGTTGTACCGACACCTTTTGGATCGTTTGGAGGATCCTTTACACACACACACACACACACACACACACACACACACACACACACACACACACACACACACACACACACACACACACACACACACACACACACACACACAGCTACTAAGTGCCTCGCCGCCCTCGCGGGGCCCGCGGGAATTTTTTTGCGCAGCCTGGGTTCGGACTTTTTGCGGCGTTGGTATGGTAGGCTCACGCAACCCACCTCGAGACCATACCCCCCCGCCTGCTGACAGACCCAGCCTCCCGGAGACCGGGGATGGGCGGTCAGGACCATACCCCCCCACCCTTTGGGTAAGGCTCCCGGCGTGAGCCGACCCCGCAAAAAGTTGGAACCCTGCGTCATGCAAGGCGTGGTGGGCGACCTTCATCAAGCACCGAGCCAAGCTCGTCCGCTGATCTACTAGATACACCCGGCAATGCGACCGCCACTAAGCAGCGTCGCCCACCCGCGTGTCCTCGTAGCGACGCTCGGCTTTGCCTTGCCCGCGCCGCTCGCATCACCGGCCGTCTCGCGCTGCTGCACTATTGCGCTCTGTGCCGCCACGCCACGCCGTCGCTCGCTAAGCTCCAAGCCCGGGGCGGTACCGCCTGGTGCGCTGCCGCCATCGCTCACGGCCGACGAGACGAACGTATACGCGGGAGAAATCACGGCGCGGGTGCTGAGCGAACGCGAAAAAAAGATCGTCGCCTACCGGCAGCAGTACAAGTGCGCCGGCTGCGGCTGCCTCCTCCCGCCTACACACCAAATCGACCACATCGTGCCGCTGGCGCTCGGTGGCACCAACGGTCTCACCAACCTGCAGGCGCTGTGCGTGCGCTGCCACGTGCGCAAGACGCGCGGCCAGCGGCACGATATGCTCTCCTCACGCACCGCGCGCGAGGCGGCCGAGGTAGAAGGCGCAGCGCTCCAAAATGCCGCAGCCGTCGCCGCCGCCTCGCCGCCGCCGCCGCCGCCGCCGCCCGCGACGCTCGCGCTTGATGCGCTCGAGCTCTCGTCGCTGCAGCTGCTGCGCGGCATGAACCAGCAGCAGCTCGCGGCGGTCGTGTGCGCTGACGGACCCTTACGCGTCGCCGCCGGCCCGGGCACGGGGAAGACGCGGGTGCTCACCGCTCGCATTGCGCACCTCGTGGAGGAGGCGCGCGTGCCGCCGCAGCGCGTGCTGGCGGTCACCTTCACCAACAAGGCGGCGCGCGAGCTGCGCGAGCGCATCACGAGGCTCATCGGCCCCTGCGAGGCCGACGCGATCACGATGGGCACCTTCCACTCGCTCTGCTTGGCGATACTGCGT